ATATTTTGTAAGCTGAGCTTGATTGATTTCCCCCTCTTTTATTTTTTTATCTCAAAAGTAGCATGACCTTTTTCTTTTGTTTTCCCTACTATTTTTTAAAACAAATAATATTTTTTTCTTTGTTTCAATAAAAATTTCTAATAGAAATCGTCGACAAGATAAAAAAGAAGAAAAATCATCTCGATCTCGTTCTGTTGATTCATCATTAAATGATAAACAAGCAATTCAAACAGTATCATCATCAACAGATTCAGCTGTTTATTCAATGTCAGATATAAGTTCATCAATAAGTACAACAATTAAAAAGCCATCACAATCATTAAAAGATATTTCACATTTTTTTCATTATTTTACTTTATCAAATGATAAACATAAATCAAAAACATTAACAAATATTCGAAGAAGAAAATTACGAAAAAAATTAACTAATCAAACATTTATTTCACCTACAAATAAAGGTTTGAAACACAAAATAAAAATATTTTAAATTAAATTTAAAAAAAAAAGAAAAATATAAATGATTGTTTTTTAGATGATGATATATATGAAAGAATAAGTAATTCAAGTATTTGTTTTATTGATCAATCACCAATTCATGAAATTGATTTTATTCAACAAACTTCATTATTAAAATCAAAATTAATTCGACATGAAAATATTCTTAAAACATTAAAACAACAAATAAATCAAGTTGATCAACAATTATTAATTATTCAAGAAGATTCAATAAAAAATACTCAACATATTAAATTATGTTCTCCTTCTAATCGTCAATCAATAAAACGTCGTCATACATTTAATTCATTTTTTGATTTAAATTCTTTATTTACAGAAAAAGATAAATATTCATCTTCTTTATATGCCTTACAACTTTTGTGATCGAGATTTTCTTTTTTTTGTTTTTGTGATATTGACTTTTTTTTTTCTGTACCTAGAATTAATATGTATTCTTCAAAAAACAAATCTATACATATATAAATATTATTATTATAATACGTGTGTTATTGTGATATAAATATTCATACGATAAGACCAAAGACAAAATTCTTTTTTTTCTCTTGATGATAATGCAGACATCGTTTGTTACTCGCTACATTTACGGTAGTTTGTTAGTTGCTTTCATCAAAACAGACATATCCATTTGCATTTCTGTCTTTAATGGTTGTTTTTTTTGCACTCCCTGTCTTGTTTCGTCCATTCATCGTCGATAAAAAGACAGACAGAAGGAAAAATATGTTACATTAAGGATTAACACATAATTAAGATCAGACGAGGGTTGATTCTTAGAAAGATATAGATCGAATTTCGGCTATCAAATTCTTGAGTAGTTGCCTAATTCGATTTATAATATAAATGGAGACCGAAAAATAAACATAGCACTCATGTTTGCAAAAGAATAAAACTGTTTCTTCGTCACTTATCGTTAATTATAAAACATTAATCACGGAGAATTTACTGTAAAGCTAGGCAAAAAAATCTACTTTTTTAGCCGTTCATCATTTATGGTAAAAGCTATAAATGATGAAGACTTTACTATAAAGTTAGTCAAAAATTTTGCTTTTTTTGCCATTTATCATAAAAGCTATAAATGATGAAGACTTTACTGTAAAGTTAGGCAAAGAGTTTTACTTTTTTTGCTATTTATCATAAAAGTGATAAATGGTGGTGACTTTACTGTAAGGTTAGGGAAAAAATTTTATTTTGTTTTTTTGCCATTTATCATTTATGATAAAAGCTATAAATGATGTAGACTTTACTGTAAATTTAGGCAAAAATTTTTACTTTTTTTGTGATTTATCATAAATGATAAACGCCATAAATGTTGAAGACCTTACTGTAAAGTTATGTAAAAAGAACTTTTTTTGATTTGTCAGCTGTTATAACCGCTAGAAATCGTGAAGACGATGCTGTAAATCGGTGGTGTGGAAAGCGTTTAGTAGATTCGACTTTTTAACTCTTCAGGTGTTCAACTTATGACCTTTTAAACATTTGAACTATTCAACTTTATAACTGGGATATTCGAGTGCTCAAATTTTCAACTGTTCCCCTCTCAAAAAACGTTTTGTGGTAACGTACAGATACCTCGGTGCCGTTTTGCTCCACCCCTCAAAAAGTTTTCCCTGTTACTTAGCTGTTCTTGATAGGTTTTGCCCTGCCCTGAATAGATTTTGTATTCACCCTCACCCTGCGCCGATGGACTTTTGTCCTCACCTTCAGCTGCCTATACGGGCTTTGTTTTTCCCCTCAAAGTGATTTTCCCTCATCCTCAGCTGCTCCTGTGAGGTTTTGGCCTTATCCTCAGCTGGTCCTGTGGAGTTTTGTCTTCCCCCTAGTTCTAAGCTGTCCATATGGCTTTTGTCTTCTCTCTGAATGTTTTGCCCTCACCCTCAGTTGCTCCTGTGGGGTTTTATCCTCATCCTCATCTGCCCATGTAGGTTTTGTCCTCACCCTCAGTTGCTCCTGTGGAGTTTTGCGTCTCCCTTCAAAGGGTGTTGCGAATAGTAGAATAGTTAAATTTGATAGTTGAATATTCGAATAGTTGAAACGAGTTTTCGAGTTTATATGGATAAATTTGTAACAACTTCCAAATGCATACCTCTGTGGCGGTATGCCTTTATGGAGGTATAGAGATATTCAACACATAAACAATAACAGCCTCCTCGCCAAATGGCTTTACGTTCATCCTCAGCAGATTTTTTTATTTTTTATTTTATTATCATTTCCAAGATGCTAAGCAGCTTCTGAAGCTGCATTTATACTATCACACAAATTGCACATCACGCGGTTATTATGAAGGTACATATATATGAATTATGCATATATAACTAAAACTAAACCTATTCCTATCTATTGTTTTTTTATCCTAAAGTTACAGTTCAATATTTTCTATTTATTTTCAAAGTGATGTGAAGCAATTGAAGCTTCATTTATATTTAAACTCGAATTAGGTAACTGATAAACCATCCAGGTCTACTTTATTCTGTGAGGAAAAATAAATAACAAAGAAGGATAGTGAAATTAAACTAGAAGATAAGTCAACCATTTAGACTATCAAAATGAAATTACTTAATGGCCGTGATTTGGAAAAGCCAGTACATTAAAAAGATACAGGACGAACTTTTCGTGTGACCGTAGTAAATGACAAAAAGAATCAATTTTTCGCCTAGCTTTACAGTAAAATTTTCATCATTTATAGCTTTTATAATAATTTTATATAAATGGGTGTATGTATATTTTATTTTCTTAGTTATTTTCGAAATGATTAAGCACTTGTAAAAGTGCATTTATATTATAATTCGAATTAGGCATCTCATGAATCAAGTATTTCCATCAATACTTTTTGGTACCCCTAAGTATATTCAAATTTATAATATCTTACTTGAAAAAATCTGATAGAATACATAAATAGTCATAAATATAATTAAAATAGTTATGAATATTAATTAACTAATGGTTGATATTCATATAGATGACTCTTAAGTTCTAGAAAATTTTCGTCAGTATTTTATTGACATCTAACGAAATAAAATGTTTACCCCGTCCGTTGGCCACTGGAGTAGCCATTGGTAGGAACGATTGCTGAAAATAAACGACGCATGAGATTTGAAAATGATAAGAATATATTTGTAGTAAACATCATCAACTATCGATTAGTAAAAAGAATTTTCTTTTTCATCGCTTCATCTTTCAAATTTCGAGTCTACAAAACCGATAATTTTGAAAAAATCAAATTTTTCGAAACAAATTGTTCTCCACCTGAAGTTAATAGAGATTTTTCGAAATTTCTGTATGATCTAGATCGATGAAGAAGTTCGCTAGTGAGTTAGATATGTTTTAAAAACTTCACTATAACTCGACCAATTAGACATACTAAGCTATATAGTTGACCATATAGCCACACTTCAGCTGCTCGAAGACAATCGAGAATAAAGTTAATATATGTATTATAGACTCCAACTTATCAGAAGTTGTGAATTACATATCTTCAGAGGTTATAAAATAATTCAAACCCAAAATAAATGTTCGTTTAATGAGATGTATCAAAAAATACATTTATTCTTTTGACATTAATGTTCATCGGCTCATTTCTTCCGTCTTTCCCTCACTGCAATACCATGGGATAGATGTTGCTTTTACCTACTCAATAATATAGTCAAAGAAAAAAAAAATCGAGGTTTAGTATGTCGTTCAATCCCCTTTCTTCACCGTACGGTCCCTAGGCTAATCAAAAAGTCTACACAAAGAGATGAACAACACTCGGTGAATCAGATCACATCATTAATATAAAACATAGGCTAATAATTTATTTATAAAGTTATTTTATTAGTGGTTTTTGTGGAAGCGCTGCGGAAAGTAAAGGGTTAGTTAAATATTTGAATTTTTTTATGTAATTATTAAAAAATAATCGCTTGATCCAATATAATTAATACAAAAAAAAAATTTTTTTGTTCTTAGTTTGAAATTGAAAGAAAAAATGTAATGAAAATAATTATTATCTAATTAAATATAGTTGATTATCGTCATTGTCTTCTAACAAGATAAACTTAATTATCAATATGTCATTGTAAATTTACTTTTTTTTATCCTTAATTATTCAATTAAAATGGTTGAAAAAGACAATAATAATAAAATACGTTTTACTGATCATGATGGTTATCGACAAAGAGCTGCTTGTATTTGTATAAGAAATGAACGTGAAGATGAAGTAAGAATTAAAGAATAATTTTAATTTATAAAATTTCTTTTTCTTTTATTAAAAGATTTTATTAATAACATCTCGACATAAATCTTCTTGGACAATTCCTGGTGGTGGTATTGAACAAAATGAATCAACAAATGAAGCAGCTCATAGAGAATTATTTGAAGAAGCTGGTGTTAAAGGAAAAATTATACGAGATTTAGGAGTTATTGAAAATTTTGAAAGAAAACGACGAACTAATGTCTTTGTTATTCATGTTGAACATGAATATGATGATTGGGAAGAAAAAATATCACTTGGTCGTCAAAGATATTGGTTTCATTTAAAAGAAGCTTTTTCTCTTTTAAATTCTTATAAACAATCTCAATTACCTCTTTTTGAACGTTTTATATTAACATCACCAAATTATATTCAATTAATTCATCATATTAAACGTTCTTAAGTGTTTATTTATGAAGTTTTATTACACATTTTTTTTTTGACAGTTTTATCTTAAATAAACAAGCGAGATAGACAAGATAATTAGTTTTTTTTTTACATAGGATATCTTAAGTCAGGATTCGAGTATTTCCTGAACAAATTTGCTCACGAAGGGGACTAGAATAAATCTCAACAAGCTATATCAAACGCACTATTCATTTATCCTGATTCGTGGCACTATCGCAGAGAAAACCTGAAAATACTGCTAAATAATCCGGACATTTCAGGAAAAATCGTCGTGATTCCCCCAGGAAGGGGACCAAGTTGGAAGATGATGTACAAAGATAGAACTCGACGAGCTCTATCAAATAGATATCTTGGTTGCTCAGTTCTCTGCTCCGATCTCTGAGAAATCGGTCAGCAGTGTCCTAGCTTTCTGTTTTTTTTGCTAAACCCATGGGGATTCGTCAATAGAGGGGGATCAATGGACGAAATTTATAGATCAAGATAGAACTCGACAAGATCTATTGGATATATTGGTTTTAGCTCGATCCGATACTCGTAGCCACCAGCAAAGGCTCAAAAGTCCTAATTGATTAGGTTTTTTTCGGAATAAGTCTTCAGCATTATGATCATGATATGTGTAGCATAGACCTCTATTTTTACAGGGTGCGAGTCTTGCAGGTCTTTAGATGTATAATGATGACTTATGTAGTACATACGCCTATTTTGATAGGGTGTGGGTGGGTCTTTGTTTGACTCACACCCACCTATAGCTACACCCCGACGCGTACACCCTATAAAAATAGGGGGTATGTAGTATGCATATCATCATTATGATTCTAAAACCCACAAGACCGGCATTTCAGTTTGAAATCGAGTGTCTTTTTTTTTCTCCTAAATTGAGATTGAAATCAAAATAACTATTGTATGAAACTAATGTATATTAATGTACGCGTTGAGGTTTTGAAAATCGTTTTTTAATAAATCTTTGTTTTTAATTATTTAGCTTAAAAAATTAATGAAACCTGAAGATATTGAATCGAACAAATTATATAACACTACAAAAGATTATAATAAAGCTGTTAATAGCAAGAATGTAAATGAATCAGTAGTAAAACAATATAATGATAATATGTGTTTACAGTTCACGCTTTCACAATTGGTTTAACAGTAAATGAAGTAGATAAAATGAAGAGTGATAATGAGTTGAAGTTAAATCGTGAGTTTTATTGTTACTCATTTAATTTAATGAGCACATATGTATCTTAGTTTCAACTAAAAATTTCAAAAAGTTTTTGAAACACTATACTTGTTACTAATCTTAAATTGAAAAGTCTACCTATTGTTGATCTTAATCAATCTCAAAGAGTTTAATTGGTTCAACAAATTAAAGAAATTCGAAGAAAAATTTGGTTGAGATAAATGATTATCAGGTTTATAGAAAATTTTCTTTTTTGTTATAAATGTATTTTTATTTAATTTATCTTAAGTCAACAAGAAATGCTTGGTATTCCTGATTATGAAATGGTATGGATTTGTTCTTCAATGGATAATTTTGAAAAATTCTTAGGTGAACTTCATTATAAAATAGAAGAAATAGCTGGTGCTGAAAACATGTTTTTTAAATAAAATTTCAAATATAACACATATTCATTAATGAAATACTTGGTTCAATTTTAATATTTACATTGGTAGAACAGAAGTCTATTTATAAACCGTCCCAGATAATAGAAACATCACTGTGTCTCAGGATCACAACTGATTCGAGTCTCCTATCTATGACTCAATACTGACATTGGTTTTTTAAGAATCCAATGCATTAAGACTGATCGACTTTGGACTGGCAACTGCAATCAGGATTTACCGAGCTTTGTTTCAAGTAAAAATATCAGGCAAAAACATTCAATTACAGGTACTTTTTATCTGATAGTAGGACTTTTGATTACCACTGTAGTTCGATTTGAACACTGACAGTAAAATATTTTTTATCTGGAAAATCCATTCAAATAACTAAACGATTTATTTTGTTAATATCGAATGTGGAATGATAATAATATTTTCTTTTTAAAAATTATTTACAAAAAAAAATTTTTTTTGCAAAGTATGAAACAAAACGAAGTTACTGTTGTTGATTAATTTCTAATTGACTTTTGAAACGTTGAATTTCAAATTTTTGTTTTAAACACAAATCTTCTAATTGATTTAATTTATTTTGTTTTTCTTTTAATTTGATTTGTTGTTTTTTAGCATATAATTCTAATAAATGACAACGTAAATCAATTGAAAGATCAATTTTATTCCATTGTTCAATATCAAAATGATTTGTTAATTGTTCACAAATATTTTCTTCAAGTTTATTTAATCGATAAAGTTGTGATAATGATAATAAATCAAATAGACGTGTTAAATTATTACCATATTTATATGATATTGAATTAATTGTTGAAATAAAATAACGTTCAATATTTTTTTTAAGTATAAATATTGAATATTCATCAGATAATGGAAGTAAATACATTGCATTAGAATTATCAATTGGTTTTAATAGATTTGGATAAATACATTTTAATAATTCAATTATATGTAAATATTCTTTACCTGGAAGAATAATTTCATTTGTTTTAGATTCACGAAATCCATTTGAATATAACATTCGATTAAATACTGGAGAAATTTTTGCTAAATAAAATTTATAAAATCTTTAATATAAATGACAAAATAAGATTTTTTTTTTTTACCAAGAATGGATTTGTGTGCAAAGATTTTTTTATCCTCAACAATCAGAGTAACATCAGATATATCATCGGGTGTCGAAAATGAGTCTATTATTTGTTCTTCTTCGTCCATTTTTCGTATAAAAATATTAATCGTTTGCGTTCTCTTTTATACAGGTAAAGTGTGACCATATTTGGTAATGAAGAATAGTAGTGAGTCATCATCATGCATGTCGTCTGATGCCCTTTTTTGGAATTTATTTTTCTGTCGAATAAGAAAAAAAACAAAGATAAATTGAATAAGATTTGATTTGATTTGCTTTGACAAATAAAAATAAACAAAACTGATAATCATGGAAATCATTCATGGATTTGTATAAATACAACGACTTATTTTCTGGAGCAATCAAATTGGTAACGAGTTACATTGTTTACTTGTTCTGGTGTAGATAGTTCAATTTGTTAAGAAATTGTTTTTTTTTTTTACAAGAATTAAATTCCACCATTTGATCGTATTTTCAATCATCTGAATAATGTCGAAAGTAAAAATAATATAAAAAAAAGGTTTTATAGGCAATAGAACGAAATATTTAAAACATATGAAGAGCGATGATGACACTAAAGTGTTAGTTAAATGTCGAAAAGGCAAATCCTCTTTGGTTGCAGAGGATCTCCTCACCCTCACTATTGTGCTGTGTGCATGCATGGCGAATCACGTTCTAATCATGAAAACTTACAAAAGTTTTTTCGCTTAGGTGTTATAATCATTTCTAATTTTCGACATGTAGCAACCTTATTACGTCACTAATAATCAACAAGTTTAATAGAGTATACTTATAATAAATCTTATTGATTGATTACGTAACTGGTATCATATGTAGTTGTGAAAAAAAACTAAATAACGATACATTTGTTTAATATTAGTTCATTTATTCACTTCTGTATTTCAATTCGCTATTAGAGTAGAATGGCACAAGAAATTGAAGTTTTTTAGTTTATTGCTCATAACTTTTTTATTTTAAACGATAGAAAAAAACTTCTGGAACAAAACATATAGAAAAAACATTTCTCTATTCAACGGTGCATTTCATTTCTGAAAATCTTGTTTCGTAAGTTTTCCACACTCGTTTTAATCGGATCTACTAGAGACTGTGCCAAATTACCCCATCGGGGATAATTTGGCAATTGATGTAATTATGTGGAGTTGTTTGGCAATCTCAGCAACTTGTGTACAATAAATAAAAGCTATTTTAAATCTTCTTTCGATAAAAAATATATCACTGAATAGCGGAAATATTTCTCTACGAGTGTATACTAATCTTTATTTTCAGTTTCTTACTCAACGTGAATTACATCGTTTAAAAAAGACCACTAAAAAAAAAATTCGTGCCAAATTACCCCACATGGGGCATCTTGGCAATCAATATAAATATTGAGGGTAATTTGGCAAACTCAGTCAATTTGGCTGAAATCCTTAAAACTCAATTTTTGCGAGAAATAAACATAATTTCCTATTAGTTTTACCAATCAAAATATTCCTCTCATCGAGTTACACACATCTATACATTTTCAAAAATTATCACTAGATTTATATGTTTAATATTCAAAGGATGGATAATAAAAAATGCTAATCTTTCAAAATATTTCCATTTTTTTTCAAACTCATTCGCAAATGTATCTTAATAGTAGGTTTCTGAGAGACTAAGACATCAATGATGGAGTGATATGTGGGTGAGGGTGAGAGTGGGGCAAGGGAAAGAAGCGAAAATGCTGTACTTCAGCGTACTCCACTGTACTCCAAGGTTATAATAAAACAATCATTGTCAAGTTTTTAGCTATTTCAAGTTTGGTATCGACCTATGTTACGATACTTGACTTGGAGTATAGTGAAGTATGCTGAAGTACAGCATTTTTGCTTTTTCCCCTTGGAATGCGGTGTGGGTGTAGTTAAAAGGAAGATTCACATCCACACCTCACACCAACACTCACATTCACACCCACACCCTTGTATATAATTGGTATAGTTCTATCCTATATTCACTCTAAAAGCCTCATTCATTGAAGTAAATGTGAAAAGAATCAAAACAATGTTTTTTTGTTTTACTTCGACGCTCCTCTGAAGATATCTCTTTTATGACACAGGATACAATATTAAAATTTTCAACTGATTCCTCAGAAAGAATCCTTACAAAACTAAGATCAAAGTTTGTGAAAATAGTTTTTTACGATACTCGAATATTTTCTTACTAACCTTTTGAACCACTGAAATGTTCACTATTCTAAGTTTCATTATCATTCTGATGATTGCATGTATATAATATGCAATCTACAACTGGAATGACGAGATATAAACAAAAACCTTGAAACACATTTATTTATAAACATGCTTGATTATAGATACATGGAATATTCTCATAATATCTATATAAAGGTGAAAAATCAAGATTTATCATTTCTACCGGGTATTCCAAAAATTACTTTACAGTGAAACAATTGAATATGTAGGTTATGCTACGAATCAACCGAGCGGGCTCACTTTTTTATCAAAGATAGAGGCATGTGTTTTAATATGAATATTATATTTAAAAAAAAGGCAACTAATTGGATAATCAGGGCACGTCCTGCCTTTCAACAATTAATAGAAAATCTTCATAACAAATGGCATGATCAGTTATATCTATCAACTGAACAATATTGTCCGTCATTTGTGATCTGTCGATTTGTTTCTTCAGTGTTTTAATGACGTAGACACGTTGACAAAAGTCATACGAATTTATTATGTAAAAGAAATATAATTGAATTAATCTTATTTTGATCTTCCTAATTAAGAATAATCAACATTTAATTTATTTTATATTTTAATTCTTTGTCGTATTAGACAAGCATAGTAGGAAATTAATGACAAATAAGCATTTATTTTCTTTACATTTTACAAAAATTTAATACAAAGAAAGAACTTTCACTTCAATCAATGAACAATAACAAGACATCAGATGTCAATCAAACAGATTTGTATATATCGATTAAGCTGCTGCTATTCGTCCTTGATCCCGTCGTTCTACGATTTCTCGTTCAGCCATGCGTCGACCAAGAAACCAATCCTGAAAATAAACAAGAGATGTGAATACCGTGTAGATTCGAAAGAAAGTGTACTAACATCTAAACTTATGTTGAAATGAAAATCGTCAATGTTCCATTGCTTGGCAATTGCTTGAAAGTCATGAGATAGAGGATATTTGTTCACCGTATAATCTAGTTAATTCAATTCAGTATTAAAAGAAATTACAATAGAAAAAATACACTTACATTGACGTAAATATTCAAGTTGTTCATTTGTGAATTTTTGTTCTGCTTGTGCAAATTCTAAATATGCCGAATCTAGTTATGCTTCATGGCAAAAAACATTAAAATAAAAAATCATATAAATGACTTGTAAAGAGAAGTCAAATCTTACAAATTTTAGACTTTCTCTTCATCCTTGTTATTACTTTATTTTCACATAGGTTTAAAACTAAAGCATTTCTTTTCCTATTAAACTCTATTTAAAAGTCATTTCTTAGCCAGAAAAAACTAATTTCTTGTTCTAAAACTCGTTTTTTTTCTTTATCTTGTTTAAATTATCTGCTACAAATCACAGACGGTCACGGTTCGGTTCGATTCGATTCGCAACTTTTGATAGAGACCTCTGTTTTGATTCGGTTTTGTACCAACTTGTCATAGTTTAGATCAGTATTCGAGCATTTATAAAGCAAGGAGAGTAAACGAAAATATTCTCATAAACAGCAATGAAAGTATTTACATTCATTCTTGTCTTTCTTCGTCTCACTAAAAGCAAAATGGGAATGAACTAGGTGTATCTTTAGTACAGAAAAAGAATTCACATAATGAGCTGTTGACTCAAGTTCAATGCAATATAAGTACTTCAGTATATTTAAGACGCATATTACTAAACGGTCGGGATTTTACATATATATCTAAAGACTCTCTATTTATAATAGACAATTATCAGATGTTTTATTATGTAAAGATAAATAAATGGTATGGTAAATCTTATTAGATTTCACTTATACAATCATTAACAATGCAAAATTTTCCTAAAATTCGCGACATTTTACAGGATCAGAAAGGGTTTTTTCAGGACTAAAGAGACTTGTATCGTGGAGATAGGATTGTGGAAGACAATCCTTTGAAATAAGACGAATAAGTGATGACGAAAATCACGTAGATTTCATTATCATTGATAGAGTTTCTGAAAATTCTTTTTCCATTCGGTTTAAACTTTTTTGAAAAAACGTCGATTTGGACTTCTTCAATTTTCTCGCGGTTCCAGTTCGGTTCGAGTTTTGCGATGCTTAATGGAGATCAATTCTGTATCAAATTAAATGTTCAATATATTAATTATTCTCGAAACTAATCAAAACAATACCCGAATGAGAAAACAAAAATATGAATTCCCATAGAATTTATTCCATTGATGAACTAATTCTCTACAGAATAAATAATCATGGAAAGATCGAATCAACTAAACTTTCATTTTTGTCTAATTCAATTGAAAACACATACTTCTGCGATTACAAGGTATGCAGAAGCACAGCAGTGTGGTGACGTAAGAGCAAGTAAACAGCAATTCCAAAGTATGAACAGTGTAACTATGCCTTCCGTTTCTTGTCTCAAAGCAAAATGCTACTCCTCACATGATGATATCCTGTTTTAGTGAACATTTTTTTAATTGTCGCTTTCCTTAACATTGTATTTTGGGCATAGAAAAGAAAATGATATAAATCGTACATAAAATCAACTCGTATAGTTAATTCCACTCAGAGACACTCTCGACATATGATTACATACGAAATATAAGTCTTTACTTTTCTTCTCTTCGATTTATAATAAATTTGATGAGTTCAAAGATGAAGTAATTATAATCAAGTACTTAATCAACTGATAGGGAAAAGAGAATGATCTGTATTTTTGTTTAAATATGCATATACTTTCAATATGACAACTATGAACTTGAGTTATATTTTCTAAGAGATTTGATCATGAGCAGAAATGATTCGTTGATATATATTTCATTTTATAACTTGTCATTGAGAGGTCGTTTACGAATAAATACTTTCGAAATTTCTCGTATGTAATAAAATATAAAATTGAAAACCTGAATATAGTTACTATCCATATTAAAGTGATAAAATCTATACAGTTTTCATTTAATAAACGTCTTACTTGTAGCGCATTGAGCAAGTAAATCTGGATTCAAACCATAAAAAGCCATGAGAACAATCTCCAAAAAGAAAGTCTGTTAATGCAATTCAGTGAAATGCTGATTTATTTCTGACATAGAAAATTTTATATCAGCTCATATATATATATATATATATATGTCGAATATGTTCATTGAAGGACATAAGAGGTTAAAAAGCGGGCACGACGAGTTTTCTTTCATAAATAGATGCAGCGGACGAAAATAAACGGATGAGTAAATATATTTTTCCAGAGAGTAATGCTGTGATTTTAAATAGAGTCAATAGCAAATTTTATATCAAATGGAAGCGCGTCAAAAACGGGTTTTATCGGTATTAAATGGTAAGGGTTCTACAAAACTTCTTATATCAAACATAACAAATCTCTAGAAACAGGTTGCATAAAAATGGTTTTTACGGGAGTAATGCTGTGATTTTAAATATGGTGAATGATAAATTTTATATCAAATGAAAGCACGTCAAAAATGGGATTTATCAGTATTAAATGGTAAGGATTCTGTCAATCTTTTTACATGAAACATAATTAATTTCTAGAAATTTGTTATATTTTATATAAAAAGATTGACAGAACACTAACTATTTAATACTGATATATCCCATTTTTGACGCGCTTCCATTTGATATAAAATTTTCTACTAACTCTATTTAAAATCACAGCGTTACTCCCTGGAAAAATATTTTTACCCATCCTGTAGTAATTTGTCATAAAATGTTGTTCGATCATGTATCAAAAAGACTCAAACAGTATATTCGCATGTTCTACCTTCATATTAACATTTTGTACAACTTTTCTTGCGCTATATAAATATATCCAAGAAAATTCTTTTTGATTATATTCTCGATGTTTTAGATCGAAAGTACCATTCCCAAGCGTTTTGTCGTCGGTAGATAGTTAATTCGATAGTATTTTTCACTGACTACAAAACCGTATAGTTTTTAGAATTATCAAAGATGAGCCCAAAAATTAGTTAAAGACGATACTATGAAAATGTTCTCAACATTCCATCTGACAGAACATGGTTGATTTATGATATTTCCAAGAATCAATGGAAGCTCGCTTCTGTCGCAAATTGTTGGATGATCCTTTGGATGAACGATAAAACCTTATTATTTTTATAATCAGAAAATTCAAATGGTTATGCATGTGGGGTGACTATGGGTATTGGTGTGAGTGACTAAAAGATCTTCATACACTCCATACCCGCAACATTCTAGCTACGTGCCTTTGAGATAGGTTAAATATCTGACTTCACCGATCCAACTTCATTTTTATCATCTTGCCCCTCCGATTCGTTCTCATTGTCGATTATAGTTGGATCCTTAGCAGCAATACATATTTCAATTAACTACCAAAAGAGTGGAAAATCTATGTGAAGGGAAGAAAAGATCTCACTGTTGATTTTACCTCTCGACTGTTAGAGAAGTTCTTTAAGCACGAATCCAATGGATCAAAATCATCATTTATATTGATTGCCAAGATCCCCCATGTGGGGTAATTTGGCACGAATTTTTATTTTAGGGGTCTTTTTTTAACCGATGTAATTCACGTTGAGTAAGAAACTGAAAATAAAGATTAGTATACACTCGTAGAGAAATATTTCCGCTATTTAGTAATATATTTTTTATCGAAAAAAGATTTAAAATAGCTTTCAAAAATAGCTTTTATTTATTGTACGCAAAAATTGCTGAGATTGCCAAATTACTCCCGATGGGATAATTTGGCACAGTCTCTAGTAGGTCCGATTAAAACGAGTGTGGAAAACTTACGAAAGAAGATTTTCAGAAATGAAATGCACCGTTGAATAGAGAAATGTTTTTTCTATATGTTTTGTTCCAGAAGTTTTTTTCTATCATTTAAAATAAAAAAGTTATGAGCAATAAACTAAAAAACTTCAATTTCTTGTGCCATTTTACCCCATCCTACTCTATACTATTTTTTTCTTTGCTAGAGAGTATTTCTTTTTCGGAAATATGATTATTATATTTCTAACATTAAAATAAAAAGTCTTTATTAATAACACTAGAATAATATATTTTCTTTTATTAATTTAATAGATCGTCTTTCGACATTTTTATTTTTCGATCAAGTTCAGAGTAAGAAAAGAAAACATTTGACAAATCAATCCTAGACAAATACAATTCGAGTGAAAGTCTGATATTTTTTATTAATTTAAAATATCTAATAGAGTTTCTTTCGTTTGATTTTATAAGCCTTCATTACCTTACCTTTTTACTTTCTATTTTTGCAATTTTATGCCGAAGAAATAGCTAAGAATAAAATTCAATAGATGAACAATATCAATTTTTCTTAACTGGTAACTAATGTCGTTTCATTTTCCCCATTAGTTAAAGCATCGTTTGAAAAAATCAAGAACATCCATTCAGAATCTATGCTAAAAACCCTGGTTAACAATGTGTTCAAAAACAAAAATTCTATCACCTCTTGTTTTTTTGAGTATTGAGCAAATGTTTGAATAGTACTAAAATGAGCTTTGCAAAATCAGCATGAAATGATTGGCACAAAGAATTTTGTGACTTACGCGTATTCATTCTAGTGAGAATGAAGAGAAGACCTACACCCACATTCTAATAGATGATGTTTATTATATATAATGACACGTTGAAAACAGCAAAAGTTCGAGAGTGATATAAATTTAATCTAAAGCTGCTGCCGGTGAAAACTCTCTCCCTCTTGCTTGTGTTACTAGAGTTGCAGTCGAATGGAGTGAGAAATACTTGTCTATCAAGACAAGATCTAGAATTAGCTGATTGCTGTTTTGAGACTGGGCGTAAGTTTTCTATTGATCCAGAATAACAACACACCTACATTCTATTCAAAAAAATATTATCTGAACATCTCAATTTATCAATGTATCAGTGTGTCTGATCGATTTTTTAAAATAAAATATTTCAAAAGAATTCTTTACATTAGCAATATTTATTAAATATTTATTATTTTTAGTTTCATTCAAGATTAAATAAATTATTAAAATATACAAATCATTGTTTTTTTCGTTCGAAATAGATTTTATCAGATATAAATTTTACTGTATAATCATGTAGTTGTTGTTCTCGATTGATCATTATTTTGAAATTTTCAATTATCTCAACTTTACAAATTGAACCGTAAAGACATAACATACAAAGATTAGGAATATTTGCATAATTTTCCATCAAAATAAATCGAACGAACATTTCAAGATTTACACCTCTTAAACATTCTATTGTGAAATATTCTATACAAGGACAAAGATTAATTAGAAATTGAGCTTGCTGAAATTCAATCATCTGTGCAAGATGTACTTCGATAATTTTGTTTTCCTTCGAAGCTAAATGAAAATTTTTTATATCATCAATAGATATGGTTTTTATTTCCAACAGTGTTAAATTGGACACACGTAATGAATGAAGATTAGGTAAATACCAAACGAGTTTGATCAGTGTACTAATAGGCACCCATTTGGAACTAATATTCAAATGAGTAAATTCTGCTATTAAAAGAAATGCTCGAGTATTCTCTGCAATTATTAAACAATACTGAGTAAAATCTAAACGACTAACAGTTAATTGAATAAATTTAGCTGTATGTTTTCCATCATTCGAAGTTGATATTTTATTCCTAGAAGTAAAAAAACAAAACAAAACAGAATGATCAATATTGATAGTTCTTTCAATTTACTTAGAAAAACGAAGAGAATAAATAAATTGACCATGATACCAACTATCTATATCAAGGTGACATTCAATTAAACATCGTCGATTGATCCAAAATGATGAAGTCGATTGATTAATTAGCCACTGATATGGAGCATATAAAATCGAATCATCAATAAATTGATAATATTGAAAATAAAATTGATAGATATGAGGCATATTATCTTGGATCAATCGTTCCCATCGATTGACATCAAGATAAGCAAAATAATTCGATGTCATTATTCGTAATACTTTTATTTGTGTACAAAATTTTTGAATGAAGATTTCTAAATCTTGAAATTGAATTTTACAAAATCCAATAGAGATATGTGTTAAATTAGATAATTTAATAGGTATTTCAATTGAAATATTGTGTAACAATCCAAACAATTCTTCACAAGTTAAATGAGATAGTCGAGGTGTGTATGAAAGTAAACAAATAAGGTTATTAAGAGTACAACGATGATTAATATTCATATATTCAATAGAACTGTACTGTTCATTAGATGCTATTGGGATTCGAGTAAATTTGAGAAAGTTCTTCGATAAAAGTCTTATCGATTTCAAAACTGGTAAACGAAAAATTAGTCTATATATATTGCTGAGATCTTGACAATTATCATTAAGATAAATAGTTAAAGAAAACAGACGAAATAGAGAAATTAAATTTAAAAGAATTTTTATGATTTTGTTTTCATCAACATTTTTAAGAACAAGTGATTCAAGTTGAGTAAATGATGAATCAATAGTAAATAATGTAAACATTTGATCATTACCACAATAGTTTATCAATGAAATTGAAACGATTTGATGTTTATTTGGTATAATAATATGTTTAAAACGATGTTCAAGGATAGATTCTAGAGAAGATGAGATTTGAATATTGAGTGATAGATATGAACTAGTCAGAAGACGTTGAAAACGAATATTGAGATTTGTAAATGCTTCATATAATTTACAACCTTCGAGATAAGTAAATATTTCATAAAAAATTTCATTTGGCAAATTTTCAATACATGTAATTGATTTACTATATACGGATATTATGTTATAACATTAGAGATTTATTTTCATGCTTACTTTAATATTGCTAATAAAATTAGAAAAAATAATCAAGAATATATCATACATTTATACCAATATATATCTATAAACAAAGCTTACTTCGTAATTTCTTTGTCTCTTTATACAATGATTGACTATCGACCATGTTTCGTTTGACTAGATTCATGTTTCTAAAATCATACGATTATACGTGAATTTGTTTTTCTATTATTTCATTTACATCCTTTTATTTTTGTGTAGAAAGAATAAATGACATCATTTATTAATACGTTTCTTTTTATTGTCAGACGCTTTTTCGATGACGTATATCATCTCTATGCAAACATTAAATATAAAACATTAGTTGAATCATATAAAAAATAAGAAATAATAAAAGCTATTTTAGGTAGTAAATAAATGGTGAGTCATATCAAAATAAATATTGATTTTTTACTTGGTTGGAAATTTCCAAAAATATAACAGCAAAAACTTAAAATCACTAATGATTCTGTAAAATTTTAATAAAATATTACATTTATAAAGTAAAACGAATTAAAGAAAACTGTTCTTTTTCAGCAATATTTTTACAATCGAATGATATTTAAGTCTTCTACTCTTTGAACATGGTTGAAAAAAATGTTTAAATCGGTGCTAAATATTATCGACAAAGGATTAACAATTAGATTTTCAAAAAATAGCAATTTTCATCAATTTTGTTTACTTGAAAGATTAAACTCATGTCGGCTTTTGTTTTAAAGTAATGCCACTACAAGGTATGCGAGTGTAGGATAAGTTCTCTTGTCACCCACACCCTCCTTTCATCATTTAGCAATTATAAACATCTTTCAGACAGCCTTGTCGCGAAGAAAAACAAGGATCATGTTTGACTTCGATCAGTTTGTCTCAACCTATGACTATGTACGATTTCGATAACTCTAGATTTGCTATGGAATTTCTCCCCATAGTTATAGAATAATATTCTATACGCATATATTATTATTGTGCTCTTGAAAGATCATGTGCTTTTTAAAAAAAGGTAACAAAAATAGAAATGAGGGTGTGGGTAAGATCTCTATTCCACCAACAACCACGCCCATACTTCAAATGGACACAAATGATAGAAATCCAACAAACATACTTTTCATTAGTATCCACTACTAAACATTCACTCGTTTGCCTATTATCAAATTAAAGCTTGATTAGATTGAATTAATCTTTTGCAGAGTTTGAAACTTTCTTCTGAATTGATTAAGAATCAAATGATGAGGGTGTAGGCGTGTATATCGATGTAAGTGTGTAGCTGTCGGTGTGTGTATGAATGTATTTCTGAGTGTTTTCATCAAGTACAACCAAGCCTACATCCACATCTGAATCTACAAAAAGAAACTCAAATGGAACAAAATATTTATCTCACATAGATTAAAAAAAAACTGTAATATCGTCTGTGTTTAATTTTTCGCTGACTATTGTTACCAGAAAGATCACGTGTTCTATTCACATTTAGATGATGATACTCAATATTTGTTAAATTTGAGCGGCTGTCATATAGTCATATATCTGGTTGAGTTTTGTTCATTTCTAGTAATCCCTTACTCCATTAAATACAGAACTATTTCCGATGATCGGAATAATCATCCCGGACGGTACAGAAACCGATCTAAATCAACAAATAAGACTGATTGATACATCTGTATGAGTATTTCTTCATTTTTTTGTCGTCTCGTAATAGTCAAGCCAACCTCTCCAGAAGTCAACTACAATAATGACATTGAGGTCCTAGTTCGCTACTATAGTACTTTTCACAATTTATTTCCATAAAATTTATCTCTTTTGTTGTCTATTAGTCGATAAAAAAGTTTCTAAGACAGAAAACTGTATATTAGCTTTCTACATAAATTAATCTATTCTCAGGAATGTTGTGATCGAGTACAGAGGACGAACACCTCCATTTCTAGAACACTTCAATTTTCCCCCTAAAAAAAATCGACCTTTTTTTTTATTGAAAAGAAAATCTCATCATATAAGAAATAAATTTATGTAAGCCGTTCTGTATTTTTTTTTCTTCATCACAGTTCTAAATATTCGTCACTGATGAATATAATTAACTAGCTATATATTTAATCTATTTCTCATGTTATATTCGCTTTGCCATCTCTAATATATATATATCTATATGCGGAGTATACAACTACAAATAGTAAGAAATATAAATAAACCTATGATAAAATATGATACTAAATGATTGTTCGATTTTGTTTCGACACAATGTAACTTGATATCTAAGTGAGCTGATAAAATATATAAAGTATATAGTCATGAATTTTATTTAATAGAATAGTCAGATACACAGAAATAGACTTCAACATCCGTAAAAAAATATGTTTGATTTTCGAAGAAAAATATGTTTAAAATCAATCTTTTGAGAAAAAAATCTAAATCAAACATTAGAGAATTGTTTACTCGATTGGACGAGTCAATTACTAACAATGATGACAATTCTAATCTTAATAATTGTCTTGAAATTTCAATATCTAAAATGAATTGACGATAGTAAACAACAAAATATGTATAATGAACTGCATGAATAAAGCTTCGTTTGATAAAATGATACATTCTAAGAGAAAATGAGAATTGTTATTTGATAAAAAGTACACGATGGTGACATGTCAAACAAACAATGATTCATTAGAAGACTTTCAGGTCATATTATTTAATGATATTCTCAATTTCTATTTGATTAATATAAGTTTATGCTACTATAAATAAACATTTTAAATGTTTTTAAAAAAGATAAATATCTTTTACTAATGATTGATATTTTTTTTTTCGAGTTTAATGTTTATTAACAATTCATTTTTCTATTGACATATGTGTAAAAGAATAGTTGGAACAAACATATAATAGGTTATGTTTGATATGTCATTCATTCATTCATTTATTTTATTTGATTACTGTCAATATCGATAATTATTCTCTTGTGACAATCAACATCTTTTTTTATTCTAATTAGAACTTATCAAAAAAAAAAAAAACTTATTACATTATAAATAATTATAATTGTTAATAAGTGTGATATATTCTGTTATAATTCACAATCAATATTGATTTAGTGAAAAAAAAACAAAAAGAAAAATATATTTTATGATTAGTCACGGAAATGAAATAAGTTTCCGTTGTGTTGTGAAAAAATGAAATTATTTTTCTAAATTGTATGTTCTATAAAATTTGCCTTTTTTTTTTTTTGTTTTTGCTTTTGCTTTTGCTCAGAGGCAATTTTGATATAAAAGAGACAATAATCTTCGAAATAGATCATGATGATCTGTTTTATAGTTATTGAGTATGTTTGTTTATGTGGGCGTTGAACTTCATTGATATGTCATTATAATGATGCACTTAAAACATTTGGTATCTATTCGTATGTTTTATTCGATTATGAGCAGTTAGAAGAGAAAGCAAAAAAATTGAATGATTAAACTATCGAAAGATGAAACAATATTTATCCTAAAGGTACATTTCGTTTACAAACATAAATCAACACATTACATTTAATTCTATCAATGGATTATTATTTGATGTAAAGAATATTTATTTCTTTAATTGAGTATCAAATTAAGTTAAATCAAGAAATACTTCTGTTTTGATAAATCATAGGATTATGTTTTCGTTTTTTTTTTTTGCGAATCATATTCATATATGATTGATCCCTTTACTAAATCTATCCTTTGATCATCGAAAATATTGTTGTCTGATAGAGAAATCATTGAACTAAGCTATGATAATACTAATATTAGTAATATGATAGATTTTTTTTTTCAAAGAAAACATTATTTTAATTTAACTTATCTTTAAATAAAACAACAACAACAACAAAAATATGATTAAAGAAAAAAATTTATTATGTAAAATTAAGAAGCTCATAGACAAGGAATTGAGTCAATTTTAAAACGAAAAAAAACAAAACAAGAATATTGACGAAAACGAGACTCAACTAATATATATATATATAAACGATTCTTAGGTGAAAAACATTAAGAATGATAATCAATCTTTTTTGAATGAGTAAGTGATAATTATATTGATCGATGTAACATCAAGATGAAAACAAAACACCTCAAGGCTTTTTAACATTAATGATTAAGTTCATTTATCTATATTTACACATTGTTTTCTTGAATATAAAAACCGGGGTTTAATAAAAGAAAAAAAAAAGAAAAAAAAAAGCAATTATGAAGATTTGTTGTTAGTTGATGATTGATATAAAATTCGTTCAATTGAATATGAAGATTTATTTATTATTCCAGGTGATACGGATGATGATGATGATGAATTTCCATCACTTGTTGATGATTTTGAATTTTTTTCTTGTTTTCGTCGTTTTCTTTCTTCAGCTTGTAAACGTTTTTTTTCTAATTCTTCTTGTGAAATCGGATAACCTGAACATGTTCGTGGATGTGAATTATGTGCTGGACGACCTGGACTTTTTTTTGTATTTTCCATTTTTCTCCACTAAAATAAAAAAAAACAAAATTTTCATTTTAAATTATTACATATAAAAAAAACAAACAATTTTTGATTACTTTAGCTCGTCGATTTTGAAACCAAACTTGTACACGAGATTCAATTAAATCTAATTTAATAGCTAATGCTTCTCGCATATATATATCTGGATAATGACCTGAAAACAAATAAATTACAAAAACAAAAACAAAAAAAAAAACAAATTAACCATCTTGAAATGCTTTTTCTAATTCATCAATTTGTGAACTTGTAAAATTAGTTCTTGTTCGTCTTCCTTTATTAGTATTATGATCTAAACTTTCTTCATCTTCACTTAAATTAGATTCTAAATAATAAAAAAAGAAAGTTAAATTTTTAAGATATACATATATATATATATATATATTTTTTTTTTCTCATAAAATAAATAACCTTGAAGAATTGTATTTTGTTTCGATGCAATTAATGATTGAATAAAAAATGGTGAAAAAAAATTATTTTCTAACATATTTGAATAAATAAGTGAAGGTTTATTCAATGGACTTATCGACATTTTCAATTATTTCTTACTAATTCATTTAGATTGTATTGAGAAGAAAAAAAAAAGTTATTGATATAAACCAATAGTGTTCTATTTGTTTTATACATTCATTGGTTGTTTTCATCAAT